TACACTTCAATTTTTCTCGCAGTACAGTCTATATTTTGTATTAAAAAAAAAAACACGAAGCAAATTTAGACATAATTCTTTATTGTGGTGTGCTTTCTTTCTCACCATTTTAAATTCTATGGAAGGAAGATGGTGTTCTTGATTTTTGTTATGACACTGACCCAACTGTAACACCAAAGGTAGTGAGAGTATGCGAAAACCATTTTCAGAATTCCTTTCATGTCATAATTCAGATCAATTCAATACGACATCATAACCCCTTAAAGGCCTGTAAAAGGTACTGCAACAACTCAGTGGCAGTTACTTTATTTTTAATCACCCTAAACAATCCACAAATTTTAACCTGTAAGGTACGCAACCACTTAGGTCATCTTAATAGGGGAGTACCAGGCCTGCGATGTTAGGATTCCAGTTATGGTAGCCAAATTGAAGCAACAAATAATGGAAAGCACTGTCAACCACTTCTTTTTTATTCAATGCACAATGTAAACACTACCAACTTCAAGTTCTCTCAAGAACTGTCAGAACAAAATGCTTTAAGATCGATCTCCAGAAATCAATTTTGTCAAAAACAGTCAATTGCAATCATCAAATGCCTGAGTTGTTCCAATGTTTTACCAAAGAGAGACTGAAATGAAAAAGCAGCATGGTAAACAGTAACAAAACAGCAGAAGACGGGGACAATAGAACCAAGTTACAGTGAATTCATAACCGGTATTTTGCAAAATGAAACTATTTGTTGTTTCCATGTGATTCAGATTCATTTCTTCACTCTTGCTTACATAATGAGCAGTGAATTCACACGTGAGCTAGTTACTTTAAATTTGTCAGCCCAGCTTTCTTTGTGAAATGATTGATACTAATTAATGTTCTCATGGAAATTTTATCCATTCAAAGTGTGAAAGATTTCTGAATGTAAAGTAAAGTTTGTAGTCGAAAACTCACTGCTCATTATATAATATTGCAGGAATGGAATTTGATAACTGAGTAGAGACAGCAACTAACAGGTTTAAATTTCAAATAATCAGTTCGTTATGAGAATCTATGAGCATAAGCTTGACCGGGGTTGACTGTAATACAGACATCAAAGGGACATGCAACAGACAAGCTTTACCCCAGAATCAAATCTTTAAAGTTAACAACTCGTTAACTCTGGGTCAACACTAGAATTAAGCAATAATTATCACTGTTTAAACAAAACACATGCACACTGAAAAGATGCCCAGGCTATGACACTAATAATTTAAACTTATTCCAAAGACCAAGCAGGTTAATAATTATTAATGATCAAATGCTTTATAGGAGGGACTGGACTGAGTTCAGATCTCAAAACTTAACAGGGCTTCTTGTCTTTTTTTTTTCTCTCTTTGACTCAGACCCCAGCAAGTGGAGGACTATTTTTTTGAACTACTCTCCACTAATAATGAGATGGTAAGTCCTATATATAGAGCTTGAAATAATTATTTTTAAGCCTTTATATTTAATAAGTCTACAATTATTAATTGCAGCCAATAAACCACTTCCTAATTATTTTGTTTCTGTTGGGTGACCTGTAAATGGGATAAAACTGAGAATGGTGGCCATTTTCTCTGAGAGAATCACAGAAATTTACCTTGTCTCAAACAAGCTGCTTGCCCCATGTTTAGGTTACTTGACATTACACAGTCATGTTCTTCATAATCATACGTTATCACACATGTTCTCTTTGACTCTTGCTTCAAAACCATATGATTTCAAATCAGCATCTCAACCACGCTTCATCAATTTCTGATTACAACAAGTTTATTTTTTTCTATCACGTATCATGCTAATTTGCACATCTGTAGTGTATCTAAAGGTTATCGGTAACCACTTTCCACTTCCAAGGGTATCAAAACCGAAACTCCAAGAAAGTTCCAAATTACATTTTGCAAAATACCGAAATGTTAGAGTAAAATGTAAATGCCCCAATGAAGAGTTTTTGTCGTAACAAAAAAAATCTCTGGGTAGTCTCAAAGTAAGTACAACTTACCTTACATGCATATTATTAACTATTCAGGTAAAGGATTATAAATAAGTAATCAATGCAGCTGTGAGAGTGCATGCTTGTGCATGGAAATAGTCAGTTTTTCACTAGATGGTATACAGCTGTACAAATGACAGGGTTTTATTTCTGTAATACTCCAATTCCAGAAAAAAACGGAAGTTGCATGGAAATGAGGCTTAATAGCCCTCACAGCAAATTTGAAATAACTAATTATATAACATGGTGGAAAATCAAGTCGATCTCACTCCAGAGGACATTTCTGGCACTAGCGTTAGTGAAGAAGGGATAGGAAAATTAACCATTGCTCAACTAAAATATTGGTTAAAATGCTGCCGTATAAATCAAAATGGTAATATAAAGGACCTGTTGGAAAGGTAGGTGTACATCATCTGACTGTGCATGATAGATCAGCTGTTTATTTTCAACTACAACAAGGTTTTCCCTCAATCTTTTCAAGGGAGAGTCCTTAGGACTCCTTTAGCCTAAAGTTGCCAGTCCCAGAGGAAAAAGTAGGGGTCCAATGGTAAGCATTGTTTTATTTGTAAACTCCAAGAGAGCAATGTGATAAAATTAAATAAACAAATATTTTGCTCAATCAATTTCTGCTGCATTCACTTAAAATTAAATAAACAACTATTTTGCTCAATCAATTTCTGCTACATTCACTTTATTTGAAAAGGAATAAAGCACTTAAGGTATTTCTCGCTAACTCGAACTTAGTCAGGATAATACACAAACAATATGCTAACTTCAATGCTACTTTAAAAAATATTAACGTTTGCAAGTAGCCTCTTTAGGTTTGGCTGCATCTGTTCAGTAAGAAAGTTACATGGCATATGTCGTGTTCAACATTTTTGATTTTTGCCTTCCCTTCATGTCTCTAAATGCACGTGCTGCTGTAAGAAAATCAACATTTTCAAAGCTGGGTCCAACTAGTCTGATCATCATCCAGCTTGGTTGCGATTGCATTTTGTACAGAAAACCCTCTCTCACAAGGAGCACTTGATACTGGGATATTACAAGACTGACTAAAGCTAGTTGCACAAAGTCAGGGTGGACATTTTTATACTCTTGAATGAGACAGCTAGTAAACTGTTCAAAGTTCACAGCTCTGTAACTGGGCGCTTGATGCTTGAACTGAAGAAATTGGTTTTTACACTTATTTGAGTCAAGAACAGTTTCAAAGTGATGACAAAGTTTGTTGAGTTGCTCATCATCATGGTTTCCTAACTCTCTTGCACCATCAGGTAGTCTTCTAGGGTTCAGGACAACATCAAAACATTTCAGTAGCTCCAAGTCATTTTCTAGAAACCTGTTGTGTAGGTTGCTGGTAAGCTGGTTCAGGTATCTCCTTTATACTGAGTTGAACCAGGCTCTTAGGTTGTTGTTATCAGCAATTTCCACTCCCTTGCAGATATTCTTCCTAGTGCCAGGAACATCACCTAGGTCTGCCAACACTCTGTTTACCACAGGAGATCCATCAACCATTCCTTCAAATGCCTGAACGATGGAAGTTACACTGTGTCTTATGACAGACAAGTTGGCAATGTCCTTCTGAAACAGAGGACTAAGTGTCCCAATAACTGACAGAACATCAATCAACAAAGCTGTGGTTAGAAGAAACAGTGTTAAAGCTGTGAACTGCCAACAGCTGTAGCTTTAGAACTCTTTTCATTTTCCAAGGACATGACAAGTGAATCAGAGTACTCAATCATTGTGAGGCATGCCTCCACAGACAGAAATGTCAGATGACTGTTTCATCAAGCAGACGTGTTTAAAACATGAAAAGGCAAAATGCCTAAATGACTAAAACTATTTAGCAATAGCAAGTATCTTTCTTTTACTGGTTTTCCTCCCTACGGTATTTGGTGGATGGAGTTGTCTGTCACGTGCATTCTCGACCCCAGAGCTCTGTGCAGCCATAAGATTTTAAGGCTCTAGTGACGAGATTGTTGTCACACAGAACTTGCACGATGTGCAAGCGGCGTAACTCACACACACGCCAAAAATAGCTCCCGCATGGGGAAATCATCTGCAGTGTCAGCAGAGACATCAAGATTGTAGAGCGTATTACAAAGCAAAGCTACCATCAACTTTTAGGTATGTGAAAATAAAGAGGTAAAAAGTCCTAAGTCAAAAAATGTTGCTATCAGTTCTACAAATTTACAGGGTATATAATTTCTTACTAGTCTGTCCTAATAATTTATAAACAGGGCATTGCCCACATGATTGATCTGATTTGCTTGATGAAATTAATTGTTTACACTCCAAGTATGCAAAAGCAATAACTATAATGCAAAATTATTTTGCTCTATTGCCAATAAATGGCTTTAAAACTAGACAGTATGCATTTTGTGCTTTGTCCTAAAAATGTAATAAAAATGAGGGTACTGTCCTAAACAGGGAATGTAATAAAGGATTTTTTTGTCCTAAACTGGGTCAGGTTTTAAACCCTCAGCGGCTGACCGACATGTATACCCAAATATTGTTAGAGAAGAAATGAACGAGAGAGATCACATGACTGCAACAAGTCACAAACAGAAAGTGACAACTGCAATGGCAAAACAAGATTTGTGAGGTTTTGCATGCATGCTGAGCAGAGTTTTGCCGGTTCAAAGAAGCAAAGAAATAACGACTAGATAGGACAAAAAACAGGGAGTCTTTTGTTTTTACTTTTTAGGAAGTACATTTTGCCATTTTGTCATTTCTCCATTTCTTGTTTTAAACACTCCTTCATCAAGCATCAGTCCAATAAAGCTGTGTGACAGTCATTTAGTTCTTTTATCAGGTTATCTTCAACACATTTGGCCAAGACAGATTCCATCTCCAAAACAATTTCTGGTTTCTTGTAAAAAACAGAAGCATCACTACAACCAATTCAAGACCATCAAAATAGCATAAGTTAGACCTAGAATCAGTTGAAAGATTGAAACAAAATATACAAAGAGTAAATCCTGCTGTTCCATTTCCGAAAATGATCCCTGATGCGGATAGTATCAAGTTACTTGGCACAATAGTTGGAGAAGTTGTGTATAGTTCTGCACTTCACATGCAACTCAAAGAGTTTGCAACAGACATTCAAGATAATAATACTTGTATCTCCTCTAACTGTTCACTTTCAATTTCAAGTTGTGAAACAGAAGCTGGTGATATACAGTAGTTGAGGGAAGAGAGGATATGAAACATCATCAAATAATATCACCAGTGAAGGAACAACCAGTGTCTCTGCAAGAAATACACAATCGTTGTGAAAGAATAAAAAGAAGCCTTTTCAAGACTGAAGATGAAATTGCTGAAGTGGAGTCTCAAACAAGAACACAGTCTGCTTGACAAGAATGGTATAAACCCAAGTTTGGTAGAGTGACAGCTTCAGAGAGTCACAGGGTTGGATGCACTCATAGGGTAGGCTGAAGGGGAAGATTTTATTAGTTTCTTCAGGAGATGTCACTGTTGTTGATGTAACATAGTCAGTGTCCGGTACTCTCTACTGAGTGTTTTTACTCGTCGACCACTCTCTGTTATTGTAACTTTACTACGTTAAGCAGGGACACACAAAGGCCACAGTAACACAATGTGGTTTCTTGAATGAAAAAGAAAAATGAATTTTGGGTGCCTCTCCAGATGGTGTGGTAACAGATCCAAGCAGGAAGGATCCACATGGAATCTTTGAAGCTAAGTATATTATTGTCAAGGATGGTGAGGGCCTGAAAGATGTGGAATTCTATATGTAAAACATCAGATTCTGATGTACTACAAGTCAACAAGAATCGCATGTACTTTTATCTAGTACAACAGCAGCAGTTATGTTGTGAAAAGACTTTATGGTGTGCTTTCAATCCTGGAAAGTAATGAAGAATTCTTTTGCACAGAGGTTTCCTTTGAACACAAATGGTGGAAGGAGAAACAAAAGAACACTGAACAATTTTATGATATGATAATTTATATCATATATGAGTTAGCTTACCCCAGACTCAGAGATGGCCTTCAGTGACTGTATGTAGGTATAGTTTTAATTGACCACATACAATCAACTTTCAGGAAATCCAGTATAAAATTATATATCTTCATTACTACTTGAAAATTTTTCCAGACCAAACAGACATTTTCTGCTACACTGTAGCTTTACATTCTTTAATTCTTGCAATTCAGCATGAAGGAGCCTTTCATTTTCCATCTTAGTTTCCTCTACCCACTTTTCAAGAGTTGGCGGACTGACAACAACAGAGTCGTTCTGGAAATTTGCCGTTTTTTTCTCTCTACACAGCAATTCTTCATTCACTTTAGTCCAAGGAAAAACCGATGGCACAGTTCCCAGTTTGAGGTCTCATCTTACATGTAGACCAGTCAGACTATGTTTATAATCCATTGGTAAGAAGAGTTCTGAACAACAGAACTTGTTTCCTACAGCAGCGAAGAAGTCATCTCCTCTTTTCATTCAAATTTCCCACTTCTTTCTTTGTTGTGTGTCTGATGGAAACTCATGAAATGATACAAATGTACATGTAGGTCAGGTTGATTGTCACTTCTGCTATAAGAGGCTGCTGCACAGCATTTGTGACCACTTTTTTCTTTATAAATTGACTCATTGAAGTAGCTTTAAATTTGCCCACAACTCAGCTTCCATTTGTTTTTCCCGTTGTTTGTACTGCTTGCGGGTTCTTGACCCTGCCAAAAGCAAATTTTGTATGTAAACCTGTGTCTAAACTGCTATTTAAGCTTGTAGCTGAAAATAAACAGCATAAACAGCTGATTGATCACACAAAGCCGGATGATGTACACCTACATGCACCTTTCCAACAGTTCCTCTTTATTATCATTTTGATTTATACAGCGGCATTTTAACCAAAAGCAACGGTCAATTTTCCTATCCCTTCTTCACTAGAGCTATCACCACAAATGCCCTCTGGAGTAAGATTGACTTTATCATCCACCATGTTAGTGATTTCAAATTTGCTGCAAGGGGTATCAAGCCTCACTTCCATGCAACTTCCGTTTTTTTCTGGAATCAGAGTATTGGACATCGCTGCTATAATTTACCTGGTATAGATGTGGAGGTGTGGATTTAAAGTCATGCAAGACAATGTGCTTTTCAAAAAAAAAAATCCTATAATGAGCAATACAATACAATACAACTAGGAAAAATAGGATTCAGAACATTATTATAGGAATATAAAGAACATGCAAGTCTAATAAACAATAAATAAGTAATATTATACACATCTTCATGTTACAAAGTTAGAGTATTATGTTCAACATCATAATAGTACCATTATAGCTGACAGCTAAGAAGATAGCATGAAGCGCGACATAGCCCCTTTAAGAGGGTCTGACCAGAGTTAAATGTACGTGTATCATACATGTACTTCTCTCTTAAACATCTATAGGCAGTGGATCAGCTGTGACAGAGGAATCAGTGGCTATCAGCAAATTTGTGTGATATTAACAACCCCAGTCAAAAGTTCTTCATCACAAAAATAGTGTAATTGTGTAACTTTTGTTTACTGTCAGTCACTGTAAAATAATTTATTAATACCATAAACATTTCAGCAATAAGTAATGTTAAGATAAAATTACTAAATTAAAAGACATTATAGATCCACCATGATATTGCTTAAGTAAGGTACATATCATGTTAATAAAGATATATGAGAATTTGTGTTGTACATATAAGAAATAAGTTTTGCCATTGCAGGCAGGGCACATGAAAATGTCATCTACAGATCTTTCTGCCCTGCCTGTAAAGCAGAATATGTAGGAAAAATGGACAGGTATCTTGTAGAACATACATGTACCAGAGGAAATTCAGCTATTCATCAACACATGAAAACTTGAAGTTTATGCTTAATCTACACAGTAACTTACCTAAGACGTTGCTTAATGAAAAGAACATTATTTTATTAATAATACATATATTTATCATGTACGTAAAATGTAAACATGCAGAAACAGTCTTTGTCAACACAACAATCCTAGCAATGAACGTCAACTTTGTCAAACTTGTCCTCTTTGGCTGTTTAATAATGCCTATATTTCTGTGATTGTATATTTAGCTCAGCAAGTTTGTAAAAATTTTTCATCGTTTTGAATTAAACCAGCATTTTAATCAACATTTATTTTCTCATAAGATTTCTTGTGTACCTAAATATTAAGGAGCAAGATATTCTTTGGCGCTGTTTTTATCCTATATTTTCTACACCTCAAAAGTTTTTAGAGAATATTTAATTTTACAGTTTAAGGGCCAATGTCTGTAATTTTCGAGAATCGGTTGACAGTCGTGAATTTTTGAATTTCTTCATATTTCGCCCAAATAATCTCTATAGTACACTAATTCCAAAAATCACGTTAAAACTTGTAAATGCTTTTTATTTTTTCAGGAATCAGGTAAAGTTTGATAAACTCTAAATCGGCGCTCTTTCGAGTATGAAATTAGCGAAAATTGCGCATTTTCTAAGCGTTCGTACATAAAAACGGAATGATATCTCTAGATGAAATCAAGTCACAAAACGGACACACATTTTTACTTTATAATTCAGCAATAAACTTTAAATAAACCATTTAAATGTGACTGTACCGGCCGCAAGAAGAAACACGGTTTCAGCACTTTTCAAAAATGGCAAATTTCACCTAACTTCACCATCGCAAAAACCCAGTTGGTACATAGAATTTCAATATGAAACAAGAACTGTATTGAAGGATATCCTTTTCTTTTGTTTGTGTTAAAATATTTCTGGCGGCATTCCAAATGCGCACCTTCGAGAGACCAAAACCTGAACCGTATTTTGACACCAGGAAAGCACGTGCAACAAGCAAGTTTCGACGCTTGGAATATTAATCCTTTGCAAACATAAGTTACTTCGACATTTAAACCCTAGTCAGAGTTGTAACGGTTTCAGACTATATTTCGGCGTTTCTGTTCGGTTTAACATGATTCCTTTCAACTGATTTTTGCGATAAACCATAATGAAGAGACACGAATATGCAGTTCAAATCACAGTTAGTAGGGGGGAATATTGTCGAAATACTCGCTTGCTATAGTTTTAATCGTATTGAAACCTAAAAATCAGAAAAGTTATTTACTTACCTGAACTTAGATGCTAGATTGGTTCACAGTACCGCTGACTAAATTCTGCATCACGGCAGGATCAAAGTTAAGTTTGTATATGTTTTCAATCTGTCAACACGAGGCAAGATTACATTCCGGAAGTGCGTGACGCGTAACGCGCCGGAAAAGAAATTCCTGGTATAAGTGTTTTACGGTGCAAGTCTTTGTTGTATGTTCGTATAGCATCTCGCACATATTCAAACTTGGTTTGTGGCGCCTGTGGCCCCACAGAATGCTGAATTTATTGCGATCATAGAAAAGATGTCGTGAGTCACTTGGCATGCTCCTGACTTGTTAGTCACGTGAGTATGTAGAGCAATAACCAAACATCGACCCTACCATGCTAATAAGTAATGATACAAGTAAGGTTTTCTTCATTTACGTTAGGTGATCTTTGTTTGATCCACAAAAATTGGCGCATGACTGAAATAAGAGTTTTTCCACATCACCGCTAAATGTTTGGTTCCGGGTGGCGGTGCAACAAATAACGTGGTACCGTTCTAGATCAGCCTACTGGCTGCTCATAGAGGGGTCCATAAAGGCACATCGATTGATGACTCTGTATGGCCTGAAGAAAATAATATACCCAGACGTTTCGGCTGAGCGACGAAGGTGCAGCTTTTACACTCTTTTTTCGTTTCGAAAATAGACGATCACGCGAAAGGTCTCAGGTGACTATGCTAACCGTCATGAAAAGTCTACTTAGCTTGTTTAAGTTTAGGGCAGGAGGAAGAGATGGGTGGGTTGGTTGGCATTGGGTTCTCCATTAGGATCAACCCTACACATACAAAAATTCTTGTCTTTATAACTACATTTAGAGCTAGCAGACTTTGTTTGATCCACAAAATTGGCGCCTTTTCTCTCTTTTCTCCGCAACGTATTTGGTTAAAAGATAGTAAGTAAAATGGCTGAGGCATTTTAAAGCATTTTTTCATTTACGCGACGGATTTTGGCGTTATGAAAAAAAACTTGTCAGTGAATTGGTTTATTTTCTAGCGTGCGAACAAGTGCTGGGGGGTGGTGGCGGACAGAGCCAGGTGACTGTTCCTTTTTTTAGGCGGGAGCTAGCAGTACGAGCTTTCTGGCCTAAGGCCGTACTGTGTAGACTGGCCTTTAAGGGCCTCTGTTCGGGGGCGTGGGATCAGATAAAGTACAATCCGTCAACAGCAGGTTGAGGTCTCACCAGAAGATGCCCTTGCTGCAGAGGAGCAAAGCAATACCTTTCAGTAATTTAAACAAGTTAAATACTTGTATTTCGCTTATCAAATGTGTCCATTGTCCGTTGTCGATTTGTGGTTTTTCAGGAACGTTCTTTTGCGGAGCATTGGCCAATTTTCTTTAAACAGTTTCACTCGTTTCCATTTCCCTGCTCTACCTTCATGTGGCATATGGCGTACGTGTGTACCTAAACCACTCAATTCATACAGAGGTGATCGATAGAGAAGTCTATACGCCAAGCAGTGTTAAGATTAGTTAATCACAAGCAAAGGCTCAGAAGGCTAAGTGCAAATAAAAGAAAACTAGTGTGAAAAGTTTTGCAGACTCGGCTTAGTAATTCTATTTGTTTTCTTTCTCTATTTGAGTTTCGGCTGGTACATCCTAAAATCAAGTTTAGTTCCACATGTTTTGGGGAATATAAAATATAAAACTAAAAAAAAAAAAAACAGCGTTAGTTGTCATTTTATTTTTTCTTGTACACTCGTGCGATGATTCATCCTTTTCTGTACGGTTGCGTGACCAGACTCAGATCACACACGGGCTTTCATCACGCAACACAGCATTTAGTACGAAGCTAAACGACGGAAGATTTCAGTAAACTGCGGCCACTTGCAGTTGAAACGACTGTGGTAAGTAAATTCTTAGAGATCTCGAATCCCATTAAGAGCTAACACGCCGTTTCTAGCGGCTTTATTTTAGGTGCAGAAACTCAAGGTCAATATTTACACTCAATGAGGACTTAATCTGAGCGTCGTCTTTTTCAGCTACTTGCGTGCAATCAAATGCAGTGTTAATCTACTTAGTTTTTTTTATAACCATCAAATTGAATAGCGTTTTTCAAAAGATTTTAAGAGCTTTCCGTAATGTGCCCATTGTAAAAGAAGATAAGTTTGCAAAAACTTTTGTGTGCCTACAGTCGCGGCTAGCTTGTTTGAGCGTTCCAACGTGCGAAACTACCCTGCACGTTTCGGTGTCTCAGCGACGCACTTTTGTAACGCCGCCAAAAATTTTTTAACAGAAGAAATTGCAAAGGATGTGCTTTACAGTAGTGTTTGTTTCATGTGGACATTCCATGTATCAATTGTTTTTTGTCATTTTTGAAAAGAGCCGAAATC